AAAACAACATCTTGACTGTTTCATAAGTAAATGTCAACACCCTAAATGTTATATCCACAGTGATAGAAGGGCTGTTCCCTCCTGATACCCCTGAGTCTACATGGGCAACCCCACCATCTAAAAGGAAAACAGAGTGAGTATCAGACTACAGTCACAGTTTGAGGAAATGCTTTGAAGGCTCACTGAAGCAAGTCACTTAGTCGCCTAGATTTCAAGAGAGCTGGGGCGTGGGTTGGCCTCAAGCATAATTATGCTACTGTGCTTACTACTCTTTTAGTTTTTCTGATCCAGGCCCTGGAAGGACAGGCTGCTGCTGGAGACCTCCCAACCCAATATTACATCTTCCTTCTCATAGCTGGAATTCAGCATCTGAATGTGGCAAAAAGACATACACTTTACAGAAGTAAAATTTCTTAAATGTTAGCCCAGGTAATGCTTATTTGGAGGGCTATATCTTTAGTTCAACACTCCAAAGACCCACCTCAGATCTCAAATGAAGTCCAGTGGAACTGTAATATGAATAGCAGCCTCCTTGCTCCTTACAGCTATAAACATTTATCAACGTATAAGTCAGATACATATGGGATATTATATATATGTGATACATATGTTATACATATCAACAAACTGGATGACAGGTATTATTTTCCTTAGCCACCCTGGATGGCAAAATAACCCACATACCTCAGCTGGAAAAACTCAATAATTATAGCAGCACGTAACTCATATTGAGTACTATGCGGGCACATTATATGCTTTATCTAATCCACACAACAATTTTATGGGATACTCTTACTACCTTATTTTTTTGTTTCACAGCTGGGGAAACTGAGGAATAAAAAGGTTGATAACTTGCCCATGTTTACAGAGCTTGTGCACTGCATACCCAGGCTTAAAACCCAAGGAGTTTGACTCCAGAGCCAAAGCTCTTAACCATTACATACTACCACCTGTGCCAGGCAGATTGCCACAGGTGGATGTGAGCTGGGAGAAAAAGTACACGTATGCACTAAGGGAGAAGCAATGCACTTGAGCATGTGTACTGAACCCTTAATGAACTGGTAATTGGCAAAGCACCAGGAAGGCAGGTAACAAAGAGATGGCCTTTTCCCCAGGTGTGGATGCCTGTGGACATTTAGACGCGTAAGTAAAATGTCTGGCTTTTTAAAATGTGCTGAAAATTCCTGCCCTTTGTTTACCAAATACCAGCAAAACTTGTCTGATTTCAAGTACCTTAAATACTTCTCAATTTGGGCACTTAAATACATTAATAGAAAACAGAGTCTTAAGCAAGTATTTTTAGTGACATCAAAACCGAGTTTAAAGATCATGTGAGGTACCAACAAAGTTGTCCATATCTAAGTAGCAGCCCACTTGCTTTGTTTGCTGAAACAAGGTACTGTGAGGAAATGCGATCTTCCTACTTCAGTCCCCCAATCCTAGACATGGGGCAGCATGAGGGTAGGGGCTTTGACAGAAGCTAAAGTGCTAAACTGGAAGAAAAAAAAAAAAAAAAAAAAAGACGAGGTTGGTTCCATTATATTAATGCTCACTTGCAGATTTCATAAACAACACCTGAAAATAAGCAGTGTCAAATCGTGGCTAAGCAGCTTTCATCACAGCAGCCTGGGTTTAATTAGGTTTTACATTTTTAAAGTATTTTAGGTTTGCCTAGTGCCTTTAAGGTGCATTGGGCCCTGGTCCCAGAAAGATTAAAAAACAGAAATTAATTTTAAAGACCCTTCATAGGGAAAATAAAATGCCCTTAGCTTGAACCACAAATACTGTACATAAAGGCCTCCAGTTTCTTTTCCTCCAATCCATTTTCCACGTATCAGAGTAATTTTTTTAAAACAAAAGATCGTGTTTCTCCCTTGGTCAAGCATCTTCAGTCGCTTCAGGTAAAGTCTAAACCTTTAATGTAGCCTACAAGGAACTGCACGATCTTGCTATTGAAGGAGTAGAGCATGGTGATTATGGAGCAAAGAGCTAGGCTGTCTCCATTTGAATCCAGTTCTGCTATTTACCAGCTGCATGACCTTGGGTAAATTACTTTTCCTGTCTATGCCTCAGTTTTTCTTCTCTGTAAAATGGGGATAATAATAGAATCCATGTCATAGCGTTGTGAAGATAAAGTGAGTATAATATATACATATAAAAAGCACAACACAATCCCTGGCACATAAGAAGTTTTATATATTAGCTACTATCTCTTATCTCCCTTGTTTCTTCTCCTCCCTTCCCCCCAACTCTGTGTTCCAGCCATTCTGCATCAGATAGGCTCTAGAATGTCCCAGAAATCATGCTTCCAGACCTTCCCACATCCTGTTTCTCTATTTTAAATACTTGCGGCCAAATCTCCCTCTTATCTTCTTTCCACCCCCATCCTTCTATCTTTGCTTAACCACCACTTGCTTTGGGAAGCCTTTCCAGTCCAGGCCAGTTGTTTCTAATATGGGCTTCCAAGGCCCCAGGTAGGACTGCCAGAGGTTAGGAGGTCCAGTTAAATATGAACGTCAGATAAACAATAAATACTCTTCTAGCATAAGTATGCCCCATGCAATATTGGGATTTCAGATAAACAATGAATGAATTTTTAGTATAAATAGGTACTATGCAATATTTGAGATACTAAACACTTATTTATCTGACTTTTGAATTTAACTGGAGTCCTGTATTTCATCTGTCAACCCCACACCCGGGAGATCCTCCATCATAACCCTTACTACACTTCAGTAATTTAAAAAGTACGACAAGTGGTTTTGTTTCCCCCACTACAGTGATAGCTGTGCAAGGGCAGGGCCCAGGCAGCCATGCTAACTGTTTTAGACCTGGCATGGCAGGCATTCCACAAGTACCGAGGAATAGAGCCATCAGGCCAAAGCTCAGGCACCCCCTATTACGAATTAACTCTAACGGCAGGCAAACTCTCTGGGAGGACAAAGCCTTTTCAACAAGGTACCGCTAGCCTCTTGTCCACAGGTGGGTAAAATGATGGTACTGCTTTTCAGAATATCTCGTGTGATAATATCAATTCCCCAATGCCAGTTTTAAGATGACCCCACTATTTTGTATTCAAAAAAGGACTCTGAGTTTTCATACCTATTTCACTTGACTCTTAAGGCAAGTATTAATATCCACAACTAACAGGTGAGGAAACAGAGGCTCAGAGAAGGTAAGCAGCTTGCCCAAGATGACCAATCAAAGAGAGCGACCATTTTAACCCGAGGAGCTGACTGTGCACTCCTCCCACCATACCACATGGCCATCTGGGCCAATTTAAAGAATCATAATTCTTAGGTCCTTCCTCCTCACCTAGACACCCTCTCAAAGAAGTCTGATACCTGACTCCGCTCCACAGATTTAATTGCTCCTCCTACAAAAGTTCCCCAACAATTGCCTGAGAGGAGACAGGGAGGCCTGGCATCTGTATTTTGAAATACAGGTAAGTCTTAGCTAATCTCTCATGTTATAAATGACATTATTTAGGTCTGAAGACTAAAGACCTTGCTCAGAATTACAGGAAAATAGGAGGAACACTGACTGGAACCCGAAATCTGTCCCTTCTCTTTTACCTGAATCTCTAGAAGACACCACCCCACACTCCGCTAAATTTCTGGGGACAAAGATTTACATTTTGATTACATATATTTGTCAACTTTCTTCTGGAATGAAAAATGGCTGAACCCGCTCGCCAAACAGCACCTAGTAACTCACCTCTTCGAGCACCTCTGCAAAATTCATCAGCCGGAGGGTATGTGAGCTTTCTGCCACTGGGAGATGCCTGTAAGGCTGACTAGATGCTACTTGTGCCCCTTCTCCTAAAGGGTCTGAGCCCGAGGGAGATTCACTCAGGCCGGAGAAGGACTGCCGCTTCTACTAGAACAGGAAGCTGCCACGTCTAGTCCAGTCTCTCTCACCTCCCCCGCTCCAGCTCTACTTCCGTAGGCTTCTGAAGGAAGCTTCCTCAAAGGAAACTTCCACTTTGAAGCAGCGGAAACAGGAAGCAGGGAATAACCAAGAAAGATTGCGCCGCGCGGAGCAGGGGGTCAGAAGCTAATGACCTAGAACATAGCAGGCGGTGAGCAATTTAATAAAGCTAGAAATGCAACCCTCCAACAATGGTAAGTTCTTAAACGGCTGCAGCTTACTTGGTTTGGGGGGAAAGTGCGGAGAAAATATCACAGGACTGCAGACCTGCTTTTGGAGGTTCCTCGGGCAGCCTTCTGTTTGGAGCACGAATACCGGCTGGCTGGCTGGACTGGCCCCTAGATATGCAGCAGCATCGAGGAACCTAAGGAGGCTGTGCTCCCCAGCCCGGCGGAACGAAGGATACTGGCTCCTCAGGTCCTGCCTAAAACGAAAATCACAAACGCAACTGAATTATAATTATTGTTTGTATGGGTCACTGAAGAAAACGTCTGTGCTGACAGAATTCTAGCTGGAGCCTTCGTTTGGAGCTCGGAAGCGGACCTTTACAAAATTACCGACCTGGTTACAGCCGGCATAGAAGGTTCTCGCAGTTGTCAAAACCATCTGGCCAAGGACGAGGAGATGTCCCCCAGGGGAATCTCTTTCCCGGGCGCGGTTAGATCCCCTCATCTGGATACGGCGTCCACCTGGCCTAGCTGCCGCCCCACCCCACCGCTACCCCACGCCGCGCGCGCTCAGCTCCTGCTGCAACCCGAGCTCAGTTGCCCGGGTAACAAGGGATGCACACGGAGCGGGCCGCTCAACGCGAGTGCGCCCTGCGTGCTGTAGCTCCTCCTCCCCCTTGCAGACCCCGGCGGCTAAGTGTGCCAGCAGCGCGCTCGGGAGCGGGTCTTCAGCCGGGAAAGCGCGGTTCTCGTGCCGCTCTGGGCTCAGCCAGTGAGAAGCCGGGGGTGTGGCTGAGGGAACCTGCAGGCAGAGTACTTATGGGCTCGCCGCGGGTCAGGCCTGGCCTCTTCCGCACTCTCGCGCACGCGTGCCCACACCCACCGCAGCCGGGGAGTCGTAGAACGGCCACCCGGCTTTATCATGGTGACCCCCTGCTCCACCAGCCCCGTGAGTCCCGCCGCCCGGGCTGGGAGGCGGGACGACCAGAACCTCCGTGCCCCGGTGAAGAAGAGCAGGCGCCCACGCCTCCGGAGGAAGCAGCCGCTGCAGCCGCTGCAGCCGCTGAACCCGTGCCCGCTACCCGGAGACTCTGGCGTCTGCGACCTGTTCGAGTCCCCCAGCTCCGGCTCGGATGGTGCAGACAGCCCCGCGGCGCGAGGCTGCAGCCCCCTACCCGGTCCTGCCCAGCGGCTGGTGCAGCTTGATCTACAGACCTTCCGCGACTACGGTCAGAGCTGCTACGCCTTCCGCAAGGCGCGGGAAAGCCACTACCACCCGCGGGAGTCATTGGCGCGGCAGCCACAAGTGAGGCGCTGGTAGAGCCAGCTCTCCACCGCCGCTCCTCTTCTTCTCCCGGGCTCTCTCCTTTTCTGCTCTGTCTGCCCTCCGCGGCGCCCCGGCCCTCGCCAGCCCGACTTCTGCCCCCGGTCCGAGCGGGAAGGGGCTTTGGAGCGCCGGGCCACCAGCCTCATTTTACAGATGGAGAAAAGCGGGGCCTGGACGGCTTAAGTGACCTGCCCGAAGTCTCCAAACTGTTTAGCAGGGACGCGGTAGAATGCAGATTAGTTAAGACAGTTTCTAGGTTCGAGTCCAGACTCCTACCGACCCCGGCAAGTTACTTCACAGTCCTAAACTTGTTTCTTCATTTGCAAAGTGGTGACCTCCCTGCCCCCACTGATTGCTGAGAGTATTACACGAGGTAACGTGTATCCGCGCTCGGCACGGTGCCAGGCACGAATCCCGGCGGCCTGGCTCCTAGCCCTGCCTGTGCTCTTTCCACAGCAGCGCGGCCCACCTCTTTCCGTTTCCAGCGCCTTTAGGTTTTTCCTCTGTTTCCTGCCTTCCTCCGGGGACGCTCCCTAGGTCTTCGTGCCCTGTCCCTTCCACAGCCGCTCTCAGCCCTAGGCTCAACTGGCCCGCCTCCCTCCTCCCTCCGGCAGGTAACGGCGGAATCCCGCTGTAAGCTGCTCAGCTGGCTAATCCCCGTGCACCGCCAGTTCGGCCTCTCCTTCGAGTCGCTGTGCCTGACGGTGAACACTCTGGACCGCTTCCTTATCACCACGCCTGTGGCTGCAGACTGCTTCCAGCTGCTCGGGGTCACGTCCCTCCTCATCGCTTGCAAACAGGTACTTCCACGCGGGGTCTGGGGGGGTGGAGCCAGACTCCCGGCCGCTCTCTGGCCGCGCGGCTCTTCAGTGCACACGGCTGAGTGCAGGGTTCCCTGAGCTCATTTTGCAAGCTTACATACCCCACAGCCTTAACTACAGAATTCCCCCCAAAACGAACAATCCTTTCACCCAGCCCGCAAAGAAATAGGCCGCGTGTCAACAGCTCTCTCTAGCCCCTCTATTCTAGTCTCCGAAAAAAAAAAAAATTCAAAATTTCTCAAACCTGTTTTCAGCGTTGCGCTGGAAGTACACCCCAGATGATTACAGTGGAAGTATGGAGAGGCAAAGCCCCAAATATCTCGCTGGAAGGGATGGGGGAAGTCCTGGTTTTCTCCGGGTGTGAGACTGGGTGGGCCTCCGGCCCTGGATGCTGCGCAGCGAGGGATGAGCGCCCCTGTGTTACAGGTGGAGGTGCACCCGCCGCTCGTGAAGCAGCTCCTGGCCCTGTGCTGCGGCGCCTTCTCCCGGCAGCAGCTCTGCAACCTCGAGTGCATCGTGCTGCACAAACTGCACTTCAGCCTGGGCGCGCCGACCATCAGCTTCTTCCTGGAGCATTTCACGCACGCACGCGTGGAGGCCGGGCAGGCAGAGGTGTCCGAAGCCCTGGAAGCGCAAGCCCTGGCGCGCGGGGTGGCGGAGCTGAGCCTGGCTGACTACGCTTTCACCAGCTACACCCCCTCCCTGCTGGCCGTCTGTTGCCTGGCGCTGGCAGACCGTATGCTGCAGCTCCCTCGCCCGATGGACTTGCGCCTGGGCGGGCACCCCCAGGCGGCGCTGCAGGACTGCCTGGGCAAGCTGCAGCTACTGGTGGCCATAAACAGAACGTCCCTGACTCACATGCTGCCCCTCCAGATCTGCGAGAAGTGTAGCCTGTCCCCGAGCTTGAAATGAAGTAGACCCTTGGTCTCCTTTGATCCCCTGGCCTGGCTGCTGGACCTCTCCCATTGCTTTGAAAGAGTGCAGTATTGGCCCACAGAGAAGGGTTCAGTCCTCCCACTTGGTCACCAGGTCATCATGCAGGTTGTAAATAGTGTACGATTGTGGGGTTTCATTGTTTATTTATTTTGCTAACATCGCACGAGAGAAGAGACGAGTCTTTCCCCAATAAACAGGCTGTCTGTGGTGGTTTGTCTGAATACTACCAATGCGAGTGTCCACGAAGAGGGAAGGTGAAGGCAATCCGGGAATAGAGGCGGTCAGCAACCATGGAGGGTTCCTCCCTCCCCCCAGGCATCTCTGTTTGGGAACACCAGGTTTGGAGAGGTTCCTGTAGACCGAGGTTCCAGTTACAAGGCAAGTCAGGGTCACTTGTTGGCCTGTAACTGGTGACCTTGTTAGGCTGAGGACTGCTAGAGGTTCAAAGGACGAGGTGGGGTGTGAGGCTGAAAAGAACCCACAGCAGTCCATGTTGTCTAGCGGGGCCAGGGGGCACACTGCTGGTGCAGAAGATCCCAGGCTGAGAAGCTTTGGGGACTGCAGTCCCACTAGCTAGGGCAACCAAGAGTTACCCTGACAACTGCCAGATGTGGGAAAATGAAGGCTTTGCAGGCAGTTATGGCCATTGCAAATTGAGTCCATTTATCCTGCAATCACATGTTGAACAGTTCTCTCTTGTCTTACACCTACTATGTGTGAGCCCATGGTAACAATGGTGCAATAGTAATCATGGCTATCATTGAGTGCTTACATGTACCAGGCACAGTGTTCAGCATTCATTATTTCAATCCTTCAGCAGTTCTATGAGGCAGAGTCTATTATCCCATTTTTCAGAGAAGGACACTGGGCCACCGAGAGGTTAAACAATAGTGGAGCAGCCAGGATTTGAAGGCAGGTGATCTGAGTCCAGAGTTCCACCCTTTGCCACATGCTCAATTTCCTCCACTTACAGGTTTCTGGAAATGCTAAAAAAAAAAAAACCACCTCTTCCCAAGGTAGGTGTGGGACAAGTGATCTGTTCAGTGCCCTCCATTTAATAGGGACTATGGAGAACATATTTGGAGAGCCAGTACAGTCCTTGCCTCTAGTCATGTCACAGGAGTCATTTTACAGATGGGAAAACTGAGTCAAGAAATGCGACAGAGGCTTGCTGGAGTTCTGTGACTCCACAGCTGTCCCATCGTCTTCATTCTCACTGTTGTGAATCTGCTGTAGACCCTGAATCTGTAACCTCCAGCAAATTAACCTCCCTGAGCCCAATCGCTAACTGATAGCGGGGCTATTATGAAGCTTTAAATGAGATTGCTATGAGGTAGTATAAAGTAGTGCTTAAACACTTGGACTCTGGAGTCAATTTGCTGTGTGACCTTAAGCAAGTCACATATCTATGCTTAAGTCTTTCCTGTAAACATGAGAGTAACAGTAGCATTTACCTGGTAGTGTTGAGGTATGGATTTAATGAGATGTTCTCTACAAACCCCTCAGCACAGGTCCTGCCTGGCACATAGCAAGTCTTCAAGAAGCCTAGGGGCTTCGCTGGTGGCGCAGTGGTTAAGAATCCGCCTGCCAGTGCAGGGGACACGGGTTCAAGCCCTGGTCCGGGAAGATCCCACATGCCGCGGAGCAACTAAGCCCGTGTGCCACAACTACTGAGCCTGCGCTCTAGAGCCCGTGTGCAGCCTGCTAGCCTAGAGCCCGTGCTCTGCAACAAGAGAAGCTACCCAATGAGAAGCCCGGGCATCAACGAAGAATAGCCCCTGCTTGTGGCAACTAGCGAAAAGCCTGCGGGCAGCAACAAAGACCCAACGCAGCCAAAAAAAAAAAAAGGCTGGTGGCAGCCTGCATAATGATGGGGTGTGGGGGAGGAGTTACACAGAAAAAAAAACTTGGTGAAAAAATAGAGATAAAGCAAATACAGGAAAATGTTAATGCTACTGTTGTTCATTGTACTGTGTTTTTCAAATTTTCTGTATGGTTGAAAAAATAAAGTTTTGGCGGAATAAACTCAGTCATGTTCTACTGCATTTAGAATAAATCTAAATGTATGACAAATGGCACAAATAAAAAGCAAACTCAAAACATACTTAGAGAAATTTCCTTGCACTTCTTGTGCACCCAAGTACTCTCCAGAGACAGGAGCGCCTTACGAACACTTCTCTCCTGATATGTTGATATGCTAAGCTCTCCAGGAACTTTCTCCTCCTTGGCTCAAGGAGAGGGAAGTGGTGATCCCCGAGCTGTTTGAGGAAAACCTGGTCTGTGATGGTGAAAAGGAGGAGGAAAATCATATCACCTGTTCCAAGTGCCAAAATATCTGGAGCTCTCAGCCTGGCTATTAGGGGATGGGGTACCTCTGCAAAAGTGATTTTGGGGGGAGTTGTCTTCACCAGCATTTACTCAGCTAAGATTGATATGGGGGATTTGGTTCCAGAATCATCCAGACCAGGAATCATGTAATCATGCTATTCCAGCTCCTGTTGCCACAGACAATCTACATTTTTATGCACAATGCCCATATTTTTCTACTCCAGTGTGGAATTCATTGATGGAAAATGGGCCTGTTTTGGATCTTGCCATGTGTAGAGATCTCCCCAAAACTCAGCTAAGAGCTTCCCCACTCCTTTTGCAGACTGGGAAGCCATTAAGGATAGGGATGGGGAATGGACTGACTAGTGGCTAAGGCTACTCAGGAACCAGAGGAAGTAAGAGACAAAGCCAGCAAGAGGCTGTGGGAGGCTGCAGGTGCAGCTGAAAAGGCACTTCAAAACAGCAACATTCATTTATCCACACCAAGCACCAGTCGCATTACAAAAACAATTTCATCTCACAGCAACTCCTCTGAAGTTAGTGTTATGTTTTTCCAAAAGAACTGGGGTTCAGTTATCTGGTGGAGCCTGGGTTCCGACCCTAAAGCCAGAGCTTCTTCCTCGCCATCAGCGACACCACACCAACTCTAGCTGGCTGACCTCACTGGTTCCTGCATCTATAGATGCCTCAGAGAGTCTCTAAGTCTATTCTAACTATATCACTGGATTGCTTTCCATCACTGTTAGGGGGCTCTTGTTTATTAATCCAGATAATAAGTGCAAATAAAAGAGGATCTTTCACTACTCCTATGAGGTGTAAGGCACCAATTTAAGGTGCCCAGTAGGGGGGTCACAAAGATTTCAATTTCAGATGATTGTTCAAACTGTATGGATATAAGAGTGGTCCTGAAAGAGACCCCTCACCCAAGGATCTAGAGATGCCCCTTCCTGGGAGAGGCTTCCGGCTTGGGAAGAGGAGCGAAGACTCCGGCTGAGTCAACAAGGCCGGTTGTACAGAGAGTGACCAAATGCCTCGAGCGGTAGCTGAGGCTTCTGGGGAAGAGACCGGTTTTAGGGGATTTGGGGCTGTCCACTGTGGACATGTGTGACCCTCTCTTTTAAAGGCTGTGCTCAGGTGCTGCTGCCTGAGAAAGTGCGGGGTAGGGGTAGGGGTACGGAGCGCGGCTCTAGGCATCAGACCAAGTGGATGTCAAAACCAGGGGGGCTCCCTAGCCTTGGGTCTGGGGACTTCCGTAATCTGGGGCTGTTCTGGGGAGTCCCTGCTGGACTTCTACAATACATCCCCAGCAAATCCTACATGGCGGGGCAAATGCCGGGGTCTGACTTTGGCAGTTGACACTCCAAGTTTGTTTCGTGCCTTGTGGCTGGCGTGGGAAGAAAATGAAATAAGAATCGTTAACTTTTCCATATTCCCGCTGTCCGTACGCGGAAAGGCGGTACCCAGCGTTAGGGACCAGTAGGAGTTGTCCTCCCCTCCTCTCCCTTCCTATGGCGTGGCCGGGAGGCTGCGGCGCCAACGCTAGCCAAAAGAGCGCTCGCGGGCCCCGGCCCCGCGCTCGCGGCTCCCGGGGGAAGCCGCGTTGCCAGGTTGGGTTTTAACGCCTCCGCCCGCGCACAGATTGTCCGGGGCTGAAGGCGCCACCACTGGCGCTCAGGCGCGAGCCGCCCCTCCCGCGCGGCGATCCTCCTACTCCACCCCGCCTTCCCTCCGCACCTTCACAGTCGCCCCTTAGCCCCACCCCGGGCACGCGCCTCCCCGACTTCCGGCCGGCTTCAGAGCCTCTGGAGCGCTGGGTGTCGGGTCGCCATCCCGGCCCGGCCGCCGCCTCCGAGCAGTCGACGCGGGGCTCCAGGCCTGAAGCGGGCGGGAAGGCAGGATGCAGGCGTGCGGGGGCACCGCGGCGGGTCGCCGGGCCTTCGACAGCATTTGCCCCAATAGGATGCTGGATCCGCGAGGCCGGCCGTTCGGCAAGCCCGGGAAGCTGGAGAGGAAGGTGGGGCCGCAGGACGGAGCCGGGCAGGGTCCTCACGCTCCCGGCAGTGAGGGCTGACCCGCGCTCACCGTTTCTGTGCCCGGCTAGTTCGCCCCTGCGCGGAAGCTCTTTCTCGGTAGCAGCGGCAGCAGCCCGGTGTCGGTGTACGAGGATCCCCCAGACGCCGAGCTCGCTGCGCTGCCAGGTGATACCGGTGGTCCCTGCGCGACCCCTCGGGTTCCCCGCGCTAGGTGGGTGGGGCGCGCGGGCCTCAGAAGAGCTTTTCTCCCTGGGGTTTCGGAGTCCTGGCGGCGATGCCAGCGGCGAGCCCTTGCGGGGAGGCTTAGGGTTCGCCCGGCGCGTGTCTCCGCTTCTCCCTACGCAGCCCTCACCACCATAGACCTGCAGGACCTCGCTGACTGCTCCTCGTTACTCGGGTCCGACGCGCCGCCTAGTGGTAATTCGGCCGCCTCACAGGTACCTCTCCTGGTGGAAACTCGCGGCCTATCGAAACCCAAACTTCGATTCGGGAGTCAGTTCTCTGAATTTCCTCAAAGAATCCTTTTGGGTGGGGAGCGCAGGCACATCTGGCTAGCGGGGAAAGATGTCCTGCAGAAATCCAAGCCTCGTGGATTAGAACTTCCTCCTCCCTCCTAGTATGTTAACGGTGGCCGCATTCTCAGAACTGTTCTGACCAACTCTGGACAGGGAAGCTCATCTGGAGGGCTCCCCTGCCAGACGGGTCTCCCATTCCCCTCCCCATCTATTCCTTGGAGCTGCGATAAAGCAACGTGGAGGTTGCGCACTGAGGGACCAGGTGGGTAAATGGGAGCAAAGTTGCTCTCTGGGCACCTATCTGTTCTCCCAACATGCCTTTCCCGGCCATTCATTAACGATTTTCATTCCCTGGATGTCTAAGGAGTGTGGAGATTGGAGAATAACTTCTCGATCAAGACTGGAAAAAACGAAGAGAATTTACATTTGGAGGAAGTGGGAAGAGTGACAAAGGACTTGAAGAAATCTGACTGAAAACGTTGCTCTCTACAGAGATGGCCCTTTAGCAGTTGGGCACTTTATAAAAGTTCTTTTCGCCCCCTGCAAAGGCTGCTGCCACTTACTCCCATGGAGCAAAGAGGCATTTCCCCCAAAAAACCTATCTTCTTACTTGCATCCCACTTCTACCACTTGCCAGGGCTGAGACTTCCCAGCCAGATGATGGCACCTCCCAGCACTGGTGTCTGGGAGGTCAGAAGCCTGCCTCATCGATGGATATGAATGCATCCATCGATGCATATGAGTGGATATGAATATGAATAGCTAGATGCAACCTTAAGGAAGGGTGCCAGTTCCAGGTTCCTGGCAGCAGGTGCTGGGGATATGAGGTTTCACGGGAACAGACCAAGTACAGAACTCTCCAGAGGAAATGACCACCTCCTAGAACTGGGGTTGGGGTGGTGGAGCAAAGCTTCCCAGGGCCTCTCTAAGTGCCTCTTAGAATTGGGATAGAGCCTAGGGAGACTCAGGGTAAGTGGCAACTGAGAGCAGAGATTGTGAAGGCAACAGGTAAGAGTGGGAATTGCCCTGCAAAGGCCATTCTCCTGTTCTTTTAGGGTCTGGATGCTCAAATGAAAAAAGACAATACATGAGCATCTTTCAACGGACCCAGAGGGCTACATCACGCCCTTACTCCAACATGTTTGTTTTGCAAGAAAAAAACCAAACCAAACCAAACAACAACAACAGAACCAAGCAGGCTCTTGCTGAATTTTTGCTTATGTATACAGAACTTAAATTTGACATCATGCTCTGTGTTAAGTTTTTTGGTTTTGTTTTGTTTTTGTTTTTTGGCCGCTGTTTGTGTTGGAGAAATGCCAGGTTTTTACCTAATTGGGAATATAAGATTCACAGTTTCAAGGACAGAGCTCATGCCCAATGGCCCAAGCAAGAGGTCCAGGATTTTTCCCGCTGGAAGGCAGAACTGGTACAGAAGGAGATATATCCCTAGGGGAAGATTCTGTGGGGGAACCCCCTGGCCAGTGCACACTCTGGTTATATTTCTCCTTCCTGTTGGGGAAAGTGGACAGAGAGGGGAAGTGCTCTAGAAGTGTTTGAGGTCCAGAATGGGCCAAGACCTGGGATAGCACAGGAGGAAGCATTTCCTGGGTGGCTGTCCCTGAGAGTTGACCTCTAGTCTCCTCATGGTAAGGGCTTTTCTCTACTGA